GGGAAGCTGGTCTCCAAGGGGGAGTGCGAGGCGCGGGGCTGCTGCTACGTCCCCGTTCTCGCGCCGGGGTCTGGCGGTTGGCAGCCCTGGTGCTTCTTCCCGCCCGGCTACCCCAGCTACAGGCTGCAGAACCTGACTGCCACCGAGACGGGCTACACCGCCAGCCTGACCCGGGCCGCGGCCAGCGTCTTCCCGGGCGACGTCGTGGTGCTGCAGCTGGATGTGCGGTTTGAGACGGACGCCAGGCTCCACTTCACGGTGAGCGGGTGCTGGCCCGGGTCGGGGTGAGTTTGGAGGGCTCATTTCCTCCGTCTGCGGGGCGACTCATCTCCCAGACCTGTGGCTTTTCCCAGCATACGACGCCGTCCTGGTGTCTGCCTTTCCTTGCAGCTCAGGGACCCGGCCAACAAGCGCTACGAGGTGCCGCTCGAAACCCCGACCGCGAGCAGCCGGGCGGTCTCGAAGCTCTACAGCCTGCAGTTCTCGGCCGACCCCTTTGGCCTGATCGTTCTCAGGGAATCCAGCGGGCAGGTCCTGTAAGTGCTTTTACCTTCCCGTCGCCACGCGCTCCCTTCCTTCCCGAGTCTCAGCCCAACCCCGCAAAGCTGGAGGGATGAAGCTGGAAGTGGGAAGTGCCTCGACTGCCCCACTGCAACCAGAGATGTCGTCTCTCAGGTGCCCCCCAAGGAGCCCGGCCCCTTGCTCTGTTGTCCCGGCCCCTCTGGTCTCCATGTGGCTTGTCCCACCAGACGGGAGAAGGCAGCTCCAGCCTCTCCTGCCTCGTGCATCCCGGCTGCCCTGGATGTGGCCATTGCACAGGCCCTTGGTCTGGCATCGGGACCTGGCAGGTGTTGAGCAGGGAGGAGACGGTGGAGGCAGAGGCAGGGTCTTGCTGTTGGTTTTTCTTTATTTTCACCTTAATCTGCAGTTCGAGGTGACTTAGTGAGTCTCTCTGGGGCGAAGCCATTGCACTAAGGCTTCCTCGTCCCCGGCTGGTGCCTTTGACCCCTGCACTGCAGCTTCCCACCATGCCTGAAGCACCTGCTGGGAGCCCTTTTGGTTCTGCCCAGAGATGCCTCTGGTTCAGGGCTCCATGTCCTCCCTGCTTTCTGGTGCTGGGGGGCCCGTGGCCCCCCTGGTGCAGGAGTGGGGGGTGCCGTCCCTGGGGGGGCTGTCAGTTGTGTGCTGAGAGTCCCCGTTTCTCTCTGGCAGGCTGAACACTTCCGTGGCTCCCCTGTTCTTCACAGACCAGTTCCTCGAGATCTCCACCTCCCTGCCCTCCCGCCTCATCTCCGGGCTGGGGGAGCACCTGACCCCGCTCGTCCTTGACACCCAGTGGACCAAAATTACCCTCTGGAACCGGGACATGGCACCCGTGGTGAGGGGCAGGGGCGAGGGAAGCCCTGCCTTAGCAGGGAGGGGAGTGTCCCAGAGCCCCCCGGGTCTTATCCTAGAGCTCAGACCCCAAAGGGGGGTTATCAGGATCTGACTGCAGCCATAATGGTGAGGGGCTCGGGAGTCCTTCCCATCTCAACACACCAGTCAACTCCACGCCTGTCTCTGGAGGCCAGCTCCACTCCACCGCTCTGCCTGGGCTTTAACGTTGAGGTCTGTGTCTGGCTGCAGTTGGCACGAGGGGGGTCTCCGTGCCGTTTGGCTGGTGCCGCCATTAGCATCGGGACCCCTGGCCCCAGGCCTCTGTGCTTGGCAGTCGCTGCCTTCCTGAGAACGGCAGTGTGCCTGGCTTGGCACCCTTTTCCTGGGCTGGCCCACCTCTGCCAATCCAAGCAGGAGCACGCGTGCATGCCACGGTGGTGCTGAGAGCATGTGCTGCAGCCCACAGGCTCGGGGAGAGTGCGGGGATGTTTGAAATGGACCCTGCTTCTGCTCCCCCCTTTGCTAAGCAGCCCCAAGGCTTGCGGCTGGGCAGCTGCACAGCCCTTGCACCTGACCCGGCCGTGACTGGGCATTGCCAGCTTGTCTATGCGCATGGTGTTTGGAGGGGCTGAGCCCCCAGATGTCCGTCTGGCTGCAGTTGGGACTGGGAAGCCTCCCAGCTGTGCAGCAGGCCGTGGGCATGAAGAGGCT